CTGATGAGTGACCTCATCTTTGAGATGGGTGGCAAACAAAGTTAGCTGGGCCGTCTCGATTGCTAGAGTGCTCTCATCCCTAGCAGCTAAGTTAGGCACAAGTGCATCCACTATTGTATTCCAGGCCTGTATTTGTTTGTCAAGCAGCTCAATACTGCGCCTATTATTAGTCAGCATTGCCTCTGTCAAACGAGGTAGTACTTCATTTGCCAAATACAGTGCTTTGAGTTCTACTTCTAGAAGGCGGTCCAATTTGCGCAAATATGCCACTTGGTCTTCAGGGGTTTTGCGCAGCAGCCTATTCCAATGGGTGGTGGGGGTGTCAGTCACAACTGGTGGAGGGAGCATTGTTACCAATCACTTACTCAACAGACTTGAGTCACTGACACTGACACTATTACCACCTCTCTGGATCGGCTACTTTACTGAACTCTTTGCGAGGTCTTTCAGAAATTTAGAGTGCTGTTCTTAGTTTTACTTCACGTACTCACTAATTGTATCACTCTGCTTTCCTTGGTCACGCGCGTTGACTCAAGGCAGTTAAATTCACCACAGAGGAGTAACAGCAGTCAAAAATTTTGCAGAAACACTATCTAGTCCATGCACAGATTAGTTGTTTTTACTCATGGAACACTCACCCCCTACAAAAAGAAGATGGACGACTGCGCCAATTTCTGTTATCTAATTTCCTAAGAAATTAAAAGTTTGGTGAGTCTTGAGTAAATACTTACTGTTACGTCTAACAGATAAGTTTATTACCGACCTCAACACTTTGGAAAACAATTCTATCCTGGGTTTGTAATGAGGTCTCCCGCGTGCTTTGCGGGCCAAAGGATTTTTAGTAGCTCAAAAAAAAGTATATACCAGGATCTCACGTAGAGAGGCAATAAGATATATTTCAGTGCAGCACACAACAGTCTGCCGCGAAAGCTTGGGCACAAATGCTGATGATAGAAAGTGCACAAGCCAGTTTAAAGAGATGCAATGGAATAAGGACAGTGGGCTGACCAGCTCTCTGTCCATATTCCACTAACATACACACACACACATGTGGGAGGGCAGCAGGCTGCTCAGCTCGATGGCCTCCAATTAAAAACATGCGTGACCCTTTCCAAAACTATGCATGAGCTTCCCATCACCAGATCAGGGCTGGTGATTTAGAAATGAAAAGGAAAAGAAAAAGGAAACCCGGACTAATTAGCCAGTGAGGGCTGTATAAAAATATTGGATCACAACCTCTCAAATGTCTTCCAGTTATTTTTGAACTATTTTCCCTATGCTGTGCACACAAACCAATTCAGTTAATTTGGAACCATAGCTGAGCTGAGTGACAAGATGCACACAATTTGAAAACACAACTCATGCATGCAGACTAATTGGTACTTGCACATTCCCCCCACAAAAATAAAGTGGATGACTGTGCTAATTTCTGTTATCCAAAAATCTCTTATTGTTGTTGAAGTTCAAGAGATTCTTTCAAGTGGCAGTGAACCTTGAGTAATGACTAATTGTAATGTCTTATAGAAAGGTTAATATCAGCCTTGTGGCTCAGGCAATGGTTAAAGTTCTTTGACTGGAAGTGCATGTTTTCTTTGAAGTTTTTGTGGGAGGCAGGAATTTTGTAGAGAGATAAATAAAATGACAGATCTTATTAATCATGTCAGGTGACTTGAGACTATATCTGTTATAAAAAAATTTTCTTTTAAAGAGTGAGTTTCCCGATTGTTTACCGTTCTCAGTTGAAACCCCTGTAAATGTGTAATAGTTTTTGGGTAAAAATAATTGGGAGTGTAAAAAGTAAGAAAAAGGCTGTTTTGGCTATATCTTGATTTTATATTGATACATCTGGGACCATTTTACACTGAAGTTGAAGTCTGTTGGAAATCATTTTTCTAGCAAGTTCATAAATGTAAATATTTTTTTTTGCTCTGCAGAAAAAATATTTAATTCAAAAAAATATATCCATTATGCCCTGCTGTCAAAAGGCTGGAGAATGTTTGTTGGAAACTCTTGCTGATGCTGAACAGAAGTGTTTCCTTCTTCTACTTGGGAAATGTGGTAAATCTCTAAGGTGTGGCAGTATAGATATTCATCTTTGGGGAAGATTAGTGCATGCACTATGCAGCAACTGGAAAGCAACAGCAGTGGAAAATATTCAACCCAGTCTGTCTGGGGCAATATGTTTTATGGGCAAGGGTCATTCCATACAGAAAATGCCACAGTGGAAATGAAAAGTTTGTGTAGCAATTTTTTAGCTGCTGCTGGTGTTTCTGAATGTTTTTAAATGTTGTACTGTACTCATTAGTTATTCATAATGGCTTCATACTGTTTTGATGTTCATGTTCCTGCTTGGCCAATCCTGGCATCTTGGCAAATAATGGAAATTACAGAGGTATCCAGTGAGTTCAGACAGTCATGTTGGTTGAATACAGAAAAGAATAACTATGATGTATTTTTCCATCAGATGTGAATGTGGCCATCCAGCACCAATGCATCCTTCATGTCTGCAGATTTTGGGACACAATAATTTACACTGGTAATGAAACTGCTTAGGAATCTGTGATATCCTGGATACTGAAGTTTTTCTGTTATTTCAGCAAAGATCATTTCCTGGTGTTGGATGCTGTCAGTTGGGTGGACAAAGTTCACCATATTGGCTATGAATGATGGAGGCATGAATGGCAAAGTCAAATATTGATTCCATAAGTCAAGTCATGGAACAACAAATAGAATTTCCATAGAAAACTTATGTTTCTGGTTCCACTGTGAAAAAATCAACCAATGTGGTTCATCGTGGTGGAAATGTGCGGTTATGGATCATACTTCTGTCGATTTCTGACTTGGTAAGCAGAATGTGTAACATATTGATGCCATTTACTCTGATTTCCATTTATTTTTCCATCCAGGGTGCCTTGCCTTCTAGCCTTCAGGATTGCCAAAGATTCTGAAAATCATGGTGTCAACATTCATGGCGTTTATGTCTGGTACTCCACCCCTACATGGATTCCTATGCTGAAATTGTTTCTTGTGTGTTCCTATTCTTGTTGTTGTGGCCATGTTTCAAATTGATGAAAAATTGAATTTGTAAAGCTTATATACAGTAATTGGGTCTTTCATTCATTGCACAGGAATTCTCAGTACAAGCTGGTGCAGCTGTAGGGAAACTTGTTTGGGCACAGTTCATAACATAAATGTTACAGCAGCTTTAAGAGAAGCAGTTGGGAGCTCTGCTTTTACAGAAATACTTCATAGTCAAACCTAGCATCACATGTGCCTCACCACATTTGGACAGCTTTTTTGGTCAGTTTCTATTTTTTAAATGTTTGATAATGAGTTCTAAGCAATAGCTCAACATGTAAGTGACACCTTTTGTGATTGAATGCATTTTACTCATGAAGAAGGTTCAAAGTAGGTCACTGGCTTCAGTACAGTTCCTGCATCCATAGCTTGTTTTCCCATCATTTAAAAAGAAAGTACATGTAGGTGAACATGTTTTTCCAAGGAAGACTTGGCCGAAATTCTTCTCTGCATCTAACCTGTCACCATGATGAGAGCTATATTATTTCCTATGCAGTTAAAATATTTCATGATCAAAGAATTGTGCTTCATATAAAGATTATACATCAGTCCCTTATTATCATAGATATTTTTCATGTTGTTCTCAAAATGCTCACAGAAAAGTGTGTTCCTGAAAAACTTCTGATGTTAACAAGAATCTTTGTAAAAGACGTTTCTTTCAGTGATAACGTGTATTCCATCAAATCAATTTGAATGTAGAAATTAAACAAAAAAATTGATTTTCTAAGGAACGATTCATTTTTTGGATACTGCAAGATCTTGAGGGCACTGTATGATGTTATCCCAAATGTAAGAGAGAAAACATTCAACACCGGTTTTTCTTGTTTTGTTGGTAATGTTGGCATCTTATCCAGCTTTGTTACAGCATCTAACTTTGAGAGTTGCTCATTACAAAATATTGACTCTTGCCAAGGGTGGTGTATAATCCAGGGACATGTTGATGGTTTGTGACTGTAAAAGATGTGAACCATGGCGCAGAACCTGTTTGTATTTTTTTAAATCCATCAGCTGATCACACATTGGGTTTACCACCATGAAAATTGATTTGCACTGACCAGTTCCTCTCCCAGAATCTGAATGAAGAATTAAATAAGGAACATGTCCTAAACTTGCAGGAATAAAATTTCAGCATTTCATCAATAACCCAAGCAAATCCACCTGAGACTTATGACTCTGGCCTCAGATTCAGTGCAAACACTCCTGTACTTCATTTCCCATATCAAAAAACATCATTTGGTACACAAAAGCGGAGAGACCTGTTCATAAAAACTTCTACACAGGCAATAATTTTTTTTTTCATTTCACAAGAACATTTGAATTCTGATACCGAATGGCTTAAAAACAATCTGAAGAAAACTGGCACAGTTTCCTTCAGAGGCTCATATAAGGCAGTGAACCCGTTTGGCAACATTGGAATCAGTTTCCTTGTGTTTGCATAGAGCTTCATGGAGCATTTGACAAATAAGTTGGGGCTTTTAGTTCCATTTGCCAAGCCTTATTTTGATTGCATGGGCATACATGAAATTTTTTTCCACCCTAAAACATGTTTACATGCTGTGTAATCTTGAAATCCTTGATTCAAACTTTCTATAGTGATGCTAGGTAAATGCAATCAGTTTGCATGTGCATCTCAAATTCACATTCGAAATTTCAGTTTCACTACTTTCACACAAGAAGGTCCTGAACTGTATTTCAAATAAAAGCCATTGATGCCTTGGAAGAGAGAGTTTTCAAACATTTTGAAAAATTAGATGTCATCTGAACAGTTATGAGAGTTTCTGGGAATAAGAGCATGGTTCATACCTGAATTTTTAACGTAATAGCTTTGGAAAATACCCTGTATTTTTCCAATACACAATACAACTGTTTACACAATATTACACACTACAGCTGTTGTGATACTTGTTTCAACATCTGCTTCTGGTTATAAAATTAAAATGTGCTCAATGCAGTACCTATAGGCATCTATCTGATGTATGTGCAATTTGTAGATTGTATTCTTCATCATTCTGAGTTTGTGATATAGAAATTCAAAATCCACGTCGCGGTACAACTACTACGGACGAAACATATTACGTGTAGTACGTGACGAGGAGTCTTACATACTCACGGAATGGTCAAGGTTACGTGACGAGGTGTACACGATGAAACAAGTAATTAGTGGCATAACCAAAATACAGGCTTGGTACCCATATTTAATGAGTTAACTTCCCTCACAAATAGCAACACAGGTGTGAGAAGATGGGGATGCTTTCCACATTCACCTATAAAATAAAGCCATATTGCAACATGCCTTTCTGCAGCATGGGTTCTACGCAGGTAAAATATTTGCTGGGTCAAGAGTCAAGAACTATTCCAGGAGTTACAACAGACCTAAGTTTATTCAACATAATTTCATTTTTCAGACAAAAGTGTTCCACAAAATTCAACAAGAACAAGACCATCAACTGTGAGGAAGTGTGGCATGCACACAAACAAAAGCTAGTGTCATCACTGTGGTATAATGGTTCATTTTTGGTAAACAATTCCACTTGGTAGTGAACCAGAGATTCTTTTTGGTGCTGGGACAAAAGAATGAACATTCTGACTCCAGCCTGACCCAGAACCTGACCCAGATGATGAGCCACCTGAACAAAACAAAGAAGTAACTGTTGAATCTGACTACAGATTTGAATTTGATTTTCACAGACCCTTCTTCTTTTTCTTTCCAGACTTCTTCTTCTTTCCATGCTTCTTGTGCTTCTTCTTTGATGATTTCTTGCCATATTTTGAGGATTTCCCTCCCTTCTTCTTCTTGTGGGAGCCCTTCTTGTGAGCCTTTTTTTTCTTGTGTGAGCTGCCCTTCTTTCCAGACTGTAAAAAAGGACCATATTTGATAAAATTGTGGCAAAGGATTATTTTTCAGTCTGCAAATCACCTTCTTCTTTGCTTTCTTGTATTTCTTTCCTTTCTTTCCCTTTGAGTACTTCTTTGCAGCCTTCTTTTTGTTGTGGTGCTTCTTCTTCTTCTTTTTATCATAGTACTTCTTCACATGTCCTGATTCAACCTTTTTGTAGACTTTTTTGAAGCCCTGTGAAGAGAGAATATTGGATTGATTTCATGAATTGAATATTTTGGGAGAAATGTGGTACAGTGACCTTCTTTTTGTGTCCCTTTTTATGCATTCCCTTGGATCCCTTTTTGGAAGACTTTTTCTTTTTGTGGCCCTTCTTCTTTTTTCCATACTTTTTGGCTGATTTTTTATGAGCTTTCTTCTTCTTGCCATACTTTTTCTTGGAGCCCTTCTTCTTCTTCTTGGCATGCTTTCCATACTTCTTCTTCTTGTGTCCTTTTTTCTTCTTGTGGGATTTCTTTTTTTTGTGTCCTCCTTTCTTCTTGTGTGACTTCTTCTTTTTGAAGCCCTTGGAGTGACCTGAAAGGCAGAGTTATTTATTAGGAATTTTGCCTTTTTTTGAGGAGAAAGGTAAGCATCACCTCCAGCAGATGCCACCAAGTCCTGGGGACTGGCTGGGATATGGAAATGTTGGTTAAGATTTGATGGCACTAGAATTTTGTCACTTGATGGGAAACCACTGATGACGTCTGTTTCACCACGTTGTGACACTGAAGCATCTTGTGCTGATGATGAAGCAGCAACAAAGGCTAGGAAAATTGCTGCCTTGATCTGGGAAATATGCAATTACAATGAGACCCCCACACACAGACAATTTGAGATAGGGACACTTATTTTCTCATGAATAATTAATAAAACAGGACCAACATGAGGACACTGACTTGATAAATGGAAATTTTGTGATAAAATTGCAAATACTGTGCATTTCAGGCCAAATTACAATAAACAGATATTTTCAACCCCAAAGTTGATATAAGAAAAGTTCTTGGGCATTTCTCTCACAAATTTACCATCTATTTAGCTAATTTAAAAAATTAACTCCAGAATAAAGGGATTCTCTCCTCTTTTTTCACTTGATTGTTATTTTTACAGAGAATGCCAACATTTCTATATACTGTAAAGATGTATCAGTATTCAATTCCCCAAACGTCCATATTGTGTTGAAATATATTTATTGCATCAGTTTCAATTGGGAGACAATTTTTTATTTTCATGGAATTATGGTGAGTATTTTGTCCATAAAACACCAGTTAAAAATTAAATAATATAAGTCTAAGGGAAAATTAGACTTGACTTAGGGACATTTCAACTTAGGGACACTCCTGATACACCAATTACAACCAAATCTTGGAGTCTCACTCTACATATTAAAAAAATAATGATGAGTTGCCCTGAATTAGTAATGGATTCTTTTTTTTTGGAAATTTGAGCTGTCATATACACTCACCAGCATCAAAGTCCCACTCTTCATTTCAAAAGCAGCAGCTGGATTTTCCTTGCTGCAAAAGAGACTTTAAAATCCGTTTTTTTCAGAATTGCATTTTCAAGTGAAGCTGTTGAAACTGTGAAAAAATAGGTTAATGAGAAGGACTTGTTTTCATCAGCAGTGGTTGAGAAGGAAGTGGTGATGCTGAGGGAATTGTCTTTGAACTTTTATACTGATGGAGAAGCTTTGTTTTTTCCGGACCTGGTGGCGGCTGACACCCACAAAGCAACACGGAAAGCATCAGGAAACACTTTTGTCTGCATGTTTCTCATGCTTGGGTCTTTCTTTGTTTATATTTTTTTGGCGACACATCAGCTGTTCTTGCCCATGAAGAAGGTGATGTCTTTTGTTTGTCCTGGCATCAGGAAGCTGATGGTGAAAAGCTCAATGGTGGTTCTGATGTAACCCCTGGGGAGAAAACATTTCAATCATTTCCTAGTTATAAAATTCCGTTACATCAGAGATACTCTTTATTCGATTTCAATGGAGTATTTTCGAATATTTTCTGAAAGAGTTGGATGCCTGGGAAAATTTTTGAATGTAGGAACCTTGGATGATGCACATGATCTATTCCAATTTCAAGTCAGTTATGTGGTTATCAAGGTGAAGGTTTATTCTGCAAAGATATGAGGAGTGAACCCAGTTGATTTGATGCAGTTCAGTAATATTTGTACGGTAGCAGTGATTTGATTTTTCATGCTGCACTTTGATGGAAAGCTGGCAGTTTGCTTTAAGCAAAGCCAGACATTTGAAGAAATACAGTGAGACCCCTGCATGTGGACACCTTGACATGCAGACAATTCAACATAGGGACATTTATTTTTCAATAAAAAAGGCCCAATATATGGACACTGACTTTTCATGTGGACATTGCGCAATAAAATTGGCAATACATTTCAAGGAAATTTACTTTTATTAGACTTAATTGCAAGAAATTGATATTCCTAACCCTAAGATCTATGTGAGAAAATTCTTCAGTATTTCTCCCATCATTTTCCCATCCATTCAACTAATTTAAAAAATCAAATATAACATACAGGGACTTCCTTCTCTCTTTGTAACTTGAATTTTTTTTTAATATTTTAATATTTTAATTTACTGTACAGAGCTGCGCTATTCAATTCTCCTAAAGTTCCTATTGTGTTGGAAATATATTAATTAAATCAAATTTAAGTGGCAAACAACTTTTTTTCATGGAATTTTGAAGAAAATTTCTTCCATAAAACACCACTTTAAAATTATACATGAAAGTCTATGGGAAAACAAGATTCAACTTTGGGACATTCTTGATGCACCACCTATGTCTGCATCTAAGGGTCTCACTGTATTAGGCCAGACTGTGCTCACAGCTTCTTTACTAAAACACCAAAATTATCAGGATTCGAAAGTGGGGGGGAACCATTTTGTAGCTTAACGTGTTCTGAGTCTTGGGGAAAAAATTCATCCTCGTATTTTCAAGCACTAAACACTAAAATTTGGAAAAAACTGAAGCCTCACAATGAAAAAGTAACAGACAGAAACCAGGTCCTCCTTGCCTCCAGGTTGGCATCCAAGGGTGAGCACACCATGCACAGAGATAAACTCATGTCCTCTTATTTTTCTTGTTCTAAAATAAAGAAAATCAAGCAAACCAAAGCTTCAATACCAAAAAAGCAAGTGGAGAATTTTGTAGCATCATCTAGGCTCAAACATTTATTTCTGGGCACAATAGAAATACTGTACAAAAAGGGTACAGCTGCAGGCACCCCACTACAAGTGGCACCTTGCAATTTGACCTAAATCCATTTCCAAAATAGAGTTGATTTGCAAAGCAGTCAAATTGCAAGACATATGCTTAGTTGAATTAAAAAATATGTGATCAGCAGCAGACAACCCCTCCCTCTAAAAAAAAAAAACAGTTCCCATGGCAGTGGCCCAGTGATGGTGGTCCAAGCTAAAATGGTGCAAGTGCTGCAATGGATTGGCATGATTATACAAACAACACAGCGTTTGGAAGCAGAGTAAAAACTGCATTCAGTTATCAACAACAAGATCTGCGCAAGTTTCCAAGAGATTACATAGCAGTTTCTTAAAAAAAACAGAATAAGCTGTACTGAATACCCAGATCTACCAGCACAAACCACCTTTCTTTGTGGTCCTTACTAATAAACATGCAACTTTGACCACAGTAAAACAAGGTAGAGCTGAAAGGCCTAAAAAGAATGCCATGCTGCTCAGAACAACAAAGTTTCATTACAATAACCCACAGGGCTCAGATCTTTAGAGTTGTGCAGCAGCAGCCCACAGGACTTGACCAGCAAAAAGAAACAACTGCAAACAAAACACGCATTGCAAACAACTGCAAAAAAAAACAACTGCAAACAAAAAACAACTGCAAGCAAAAAATCTACTATTGAGGGGATTGCATTGCACAGGGAACGTTTCCAACCAACAAGAGGACTGGGAAGCAACCATCAGCAGCAAAAAACCAAAGCTAACCATGGCACTTACCCCAGATTGGTACATGACCTCCCCACCAACACCCCAAACCTTGGGTGTGGTCTCCATGACAGCACTCAAACCAAGGGAAGTGGATGCTGTACAGCAAGAAAACACAGTTCAACAGGCCAAAAAGCCAGGTGCCAAAAGTGGTGGTCTTCACAACAACCATGCAGTGGCCTGCATGCATGATGATGAATTTGACATGCAGCATGCTGGATTCATCATCCTGCCTTTTCCTGGCTCAGAAGTGCTTGCATGCAAGCTGGCATGGCCAAACGTCAGGCTGTAATCACCCTTGAGCTGGAAAAACTAAGGTCCACAGGGACTATGTTAAGGAGGATCTGGCTGCCTAATGGCTGACTGCAGTGTTTGTACAGTATTTCAATCCACCTTTGTCAATCATGACTGACCCAAGAAGACTCACAATGGCTCAAATGTCTGTAACACAATTTTCATTAGAATTTAGATAAAGCATGGAATACCTTCATGGTGGTATGAAGATATACAAGTAGTATCATGGCATGTCAATAGCAATTTGTACGGCAGTATGACAATAGCAAGGAGTAGGTTGGTACATCTATAGCAAGTTGTACAAGCTATGCTTATCAGTTTAAAAGACAATGGCCTGGCCTTGTTGACACCTGAGAGGTGACTGCCTTGATGGTGCTGAGCACATCCTATTTTTGTGGTGCTGCCATGAAGAAATATACATTGGTTGAGGATGTGCAAGTCCAAGTTGCAAAGGCATGGTTGGTAGCAGTAATCTCCATGTAAGCATTGCTGACAGTTACTGTATGATCATGATTGATAATTAATTCCATCTTTATTGAACAATGTGGAACAAGAAGTATACACAGGTGTGGCTGGGCCCCTCCAGCTTGTCAAAATGGATGAAAGAGACAAGATTATGAATATTAATTTGTGATATTCCAGTTAAATGTGTGATTTTCTTCTTCAACTTCAGCCAATAGAGCTGGTTTGCTGCAAATGGACACTCTAGAACCTTACACTGTCTTCTGAAAAAAAGTAGCTCTCAAGAACATTCATCAACTATATTCAATTTTTCCAGACTTCCTCACCAACATTCTTCAGAGATGAGATAAAACTTGAAGCAATTGCAGGAGAGCACAGAGTACCTCTTGGTTTTGAATTTGGAAATATGGCAACATTTTTCAATGGGCATTTTGAATGCCTGCATATTGGGAAGAATAGTTCATTCTATCATACAGCAGTTGGAGAGCAACAGCCATGGCCAATTTTTCACCCAGCATTTTTTTATTTGGGAAAGAGTCTTCCTGTAAAATCTTTTCCAGGTGTTCAGTCTGAATGTGCAAAATGCTGCAGATGTTCCTAAAAATTTCTTGAGATTGTACTCATTTTTCAGTCCTACTGATTTTTGAATTAAGATATTCCTACTCATGGTGTCTCAATGTGCAAAAATGGAAATGATGGATGAATCAAGTCAGTTAAGACCGTGAAGGGACATCTTGCGGAGCTAAAATGTGAGCCACCAGAAAGGAGCTGCTCCCATTTTCCCCAGTCCCACTCCCCAGGCAGCTGCAGTCCCTCTCTTGTGCCCATGCTTGAGAGACTTCAGAAAGGGGACTGCTCCCCCTTACAGAGGAAACACATAGGAAACAGTGTAGGAGCCATGGAGCACTCTTAAAATGCTCAATGTAATGTCTAAATTGAAACAATATTTCACAATATTCATGCTTGAAAATTGACTAAGTTATTGCAAAATGCCAGAAGATTTTTCAAAACCATATGCAAATTTCAAAAATGTAATTTCACCTTCTCAATTTTATCTGTACCATTTTCAACCATTTCAACATAAAATGAATAAATTCATAAAGATCCCTGCACACATACTCTTGACAAAAATTTTTAAATTGAGAGAATATTGTATAAATTACAATGAGCTAAAATGAACAAAATAGAATTTCTGGAAAACTCTATTTCCCATTTTGAAAAATTTACAACTGTGGCAAAAATTCATTTCTTGATAAAAATTACTTTTGAAAACTTTATAAAAAGTGCCTTGATGTTTGCCACATTTAAAATTTTTAAATTTGGAAATATCTTGAGTATTGACAAAATTACCATGATTATAGGGAAATGCCAAACCTTCCCTAACCTCCTATGTATGCAGTATGTTACAGCAAGGTTGTAACACACTATGAGGTTATGACAGTGTCATAACCTTGCAGAACTGTTCTGCAAGGTTATGGACAGTGTCATAACCTTGCAGAACTAATCTGCAAGGTTATGGAAGTGTCATAACCTTGCAGAACTGTTCTGTGAGGTTATGACACTTCCATAACCTCACAGAACTGTTTGGCAAGGTTGGGGGTGAGTTGATTCTGATTCCAATCTGATGCCATTGCTTTAATATCATTGGAGTGATGAGGAGCTGTTTTGCTGGTAATCTGACTTCTCAGGAAATTTGACCAACCCTCTTTTTTTATGTGCATGAAGAGGAACTGCCTGGTCAAGTGTATTGGAGGCATTTCTTTTTAGAACTCCTTGCATTGCTGCAAGCAATGGAAGAATATTTCAATGACCCCCGCTTCTGGGAAGTTCTGCAATTTAATGTGAC